TTACCTGATTCACAGTGTAAGTGAGCATGGTGTGTGAACTGATCCTGACAAGGTGAAAACAGTGCGTTATTGGCCAACACCAGACAATGTGGGAGAATTAAGAAGTTTCTTTGGACTCTGTACCAATTACCGGATGTTTGTGAAGGACTTTGCAACTATAGTTGCTCCACTACATGATTTGACAAAAAAAGGCCAAAAGTTTGAATGGACAGTTTCTTGCCAGCATGCTTTCAAGACCTTGAAAGAAAAATTGGCCTCAGCTCCACTTTTAAAGCTTCTAGATCCCTCACTGCCGTACATACTGGATTGTGATGCTAGTAATATCGGAATTGGAGGAGTGTTGTCTCAGAAAGTGGGTGAAAACGAACATGTAGTGGCCTACTTCAGTAGGGTCCTGAGTAGAACACAGAAGAACTACTGTGTAACACGAAGGGAACTCCTTGCTGTAGTAAAGAGTCTGACATATTTCCATCCTCACCTCTATGGGGCTAGGTTTACCATCAGGACAGACCATGCTGCATTATGCTGGTTAGGATAATAAAAGAACCGAGATCATTCAACTTCAGAGGATTCACATCGGACATTAGTACTTTTACGAAAATATAATATAAGTTCAGCGGTAAAAGAAACTCGACCTGTAATCGGCGGGTGATGAGCGAGAACTAGAGAGAGCTAGCTAGCTAAGTGAATTATACGTACGTCACCACGAAATTAACCTCGTCAACCCTCGATAATATATCAAGGAAGTTCCAGACTAGAAAGAAAACTTTATATTTCTTGTAATTTTATGAAACTTTTGTATATAAATCATTATTTGTAATAATAATTGTAATAACTGTTATTGTAAATTGTATTGTTGTTTGTATATTAAAACATATTTGTATAAAACAAAGAAAACTGTGTGTATCAATGTTGTTGGCAAATATAATAAATTGGATACATATCGGCATTTATTTAACTACTAAGTCCAAAGTACAATTTAACTCAGTTTTAGGCTATTTGAAATTGTAATACGTAACAATATCCTCCAGGGAGACATCAATGGCACCTCCTACAGGCATCACAAGGAGACGATATTTATACCATATACTAGAGCAATATTTGGTAATAACTTTGTGTTCCAGGATAACAATGCCACTGCCGACAGTGCGTGTAATGTACAGGATTATCTCAGCCAGGAGGACGTTCAAGATTGGCATTACTAATAAAGTATCCAGATTTTAGTAATCCCATTGAGAACTGTTGGGCAGAACTGAGCGGGGAAATTTCTAACCACAACCCTCAACCAGCTATTGTAGCTGAATTGCAGCGCCTTTTAGTGACAAGTTGGGATGAAATCAAGGTGGATTACATCAATAATCTTATCGACAGCATGCTACGTCGCCTTATGTAGGTTATTAGAGTACGATAAGTACCAACAAAGTACTGAATGTTTTTGCAATGGGCATCCTTTATTGGGCATGTCACGAGGTTTCTAGTGACTTACATTAAACATTTAATTAAATTAGTTTTTGTTAATCTTATATCATAACATAAAATCATAACTAATAATCCATATTTTAATAGTATATAAGTTCTAAGTTCTTGATTTTATAAGGCAATATTTAATTAAAATTTGGAATTTCCCTCAGTGTGAGAAATGTGACATTTTTTCTCTAAGCATCCCCTTCTCTGTAATTTATTCACCACCCGTCCAATACGAAATTAAATGTAAATTATTAACTATCAAATTGTCATCGCTCAGACAAAACATAATTTTTATAGCCTTCAATTTGGTTTAGTTACAGAGCCATCAAATAGAAAATTAGACCCTTTTGCTACACCCACCTATCACATCCTTTGTTTCAGGATTTGTTAATAGTTCTCTCTTACGCTTAATATTATAGTGTTTATAACCAATAAATAGCCAAGGTTTTCATCTATCAAATGGCGTATTATATTACATGTTTTCTGAACAGAGAACTGTGAATTTCTTTTTTTGTTCAAGCTTCGTTCCCACGGGAAAGATAACGACTAGGGTGGATGAATTTGTAACGTTTCTTGTCACAGAGTTAAAAAACCAGAAAAAATATGGTAGTTATGGGACATTGTCCACTTTTTGTATACTATTATCCTGTTCTTTGGTGCATTATTTAATTAGATAAAAATTATTTAGTGCATTACTACCGTTTGTATTTTAAAAATAGGATTAAGTGTCATTGACAGTCGACAGAAAAAAAGAAGATTCGGGTAAGTACTTTATTTCTTGTTTTGCATGTGTATTCTGTATTTATTATTATAAAAATAACTAAAATGTATGAATAGGTGTATGCTGTTACGAGTTTAAGGCTACTTAAGATCAACGAATGTGGTTTCATGTTACAATTTTAAGTCATTCTACAAAGAAAAAGGTAATTTAGTGTGTGTGTGTGTGAGTACGAGGTCGGTCAAATTGACCAACCTTGTATAGAGTTAGAGTAGAGAAAATAACAGATAAAATATAAAGTTTTACTGAAAACAAACATTTGAAATGTATTTAGGCGGTTTTAGAAATTACACAAATGAGATTTGAGATTTTTGAGATGAAGAAAATTATTTTTAATCTTAACATGAAAATCACTTTGCACTCGGACTAGTAAAAAAAGACTCGATATATTCATGGACAAATCTTATTTTGATAAAAATATTTCACTAAAAAATCTGATTTTTTGTATATGAAAGGCTTATAATGTTTACTGAAAGACTTCCAAATTTTGTGAAGATATAATTAATAAATTATAAGTGAGTAGTATTAAAACTATAACGACTTTTTAATGAGTGCAAAGTGGTCACGCGGTCGATCACTTCGACCGATCCCGTGTAGGAGTTTAATTAAATGCTCTTCAGCCTTCAAATCATTTGATAAAACAAACTTTATGTAAAAAAGTAATAAGTACATTATGAATAAAATAAAATATTAAGTGGGAATTTGTACTTTAAAACACAAAGTAGTGATAGCTGACCAAACTCTTCGTTTGTAAAAAGCAGCCAAGTTAGAATAAAAAGATCAACCATATAAAAATGTGATATCTACAAAAAAGCCAAATTACATAAAATGCAAATTTATCTAAACGTGTAATATATATATAAAAAAGAACAAGATAAAAAGAAGTATAAAGTTGTAAAAGTGTAATTTTAAAATTGTTAAGTTAAAAAAGACACAACTGAGCAAAGTTAGTCCTACTTTTTATCGCAACAGGAACTAATAGTAATAGTAACACAAATAAAATGTTCAATATTAAAATTTGTTTTCAAATTTAAAGTTAAATTACCGTACTGGCCTTAAATAGTCAGTTTTTATATACTAAAAGTAAGGAGATAAACACAAAAAACTGACCAATAAAAATTAGCATTGTAATAATCCCCAATCTAATACAACGACAAAATGTATTACAATTCGTCCTTTCATAAAAATATGATCCCGATATCTTACTTTATTTACTATATTTATATTTTAAGCTTTAAGTTAAAATAATTCAAGAAACATTGACATTTTTATAGTGTGTAGATTTTTTGGTGTTTTATATTGAGGTACAACTGATTGCGTCTACCATATCGTAGGGTAGGTTATGTTTGTGTATTTAACAACAATAAAAAGAAAAAACTTGCATAATTCTTAACGTTGCTTTACATTCAGATTTATGCATGATAAAGAAATTTCAAATGTGTAGCATGAGCTATTCAGCTGAAACTCCGGTGACAAAACAACAATATTGTCAAACATGACTGTTGGAAACATTTCGCTGAGCAGAAATGTAACCTCCCCTCCCCTTAGTTTAGAAGATTACTTTTCCCACGACGTTTTTCACCAACAGAACTTTTGATTAGAAAACGATACAATGGGTACAAATACTTTTTTTCTTTTCAGTATAGGTAAATAACTGCTGGATTTGTTTATGTTTATTTTTTATGTCTTATTTTTACTTCTAGGTACCCTACTACATAGTAGGGATCAAACGACAAGTACATTACTTCTACCAATTAATTCATCAATATTCCTAAGAGGACATCTCTGTCCGTTAGACTTATTGATGTTTTCATCCTCAATTTTTAAAGTCCGAACAGATGTTTTTGTTTTTCTTTGTGTGTTCGTAGTGAACACAATGGGCTCTCTATACTGTGTCCACCACGGGTATCGAAACCCGGTTTTTAGCATAGATGTTCTTCAAATATCTACTAATATTCTACTTCAACTTAGCCAAGAATTGCTGGTATATGTTTTGAAATCACAAATCAGAGGGTAGGCCACAACAAGACTTAGAATGAGCTTACACAGATCTTTTCTTCTTACCATATTTCTGTACAGAACACATCCATCAATTCTGAGAATGGAAATGTTTTTCAAAAAGTCTTTAGTAGCAGATTTCTTGTCTGTTTTCTAAGTCCATACCATATAGCAAGCAATTCAGCTATGACATACGTCATCAATATGAATTAAATCCATCGCTTCTAATACAGGAGGTGGAGTAGAGATCATCATCGTTTTTTTTTAGTCCAACATTATTTTTGAGTGGCGATACTGTCCAGAAACGAAAAAGATCTACTGAAATAAAACAGAGATCAACCTTTTAATACACATTTTGTCACCAAAATTTATAACTAAATATAAGGAGGGCTAGCCCGGTTTTGAAAATTCTAAGTCCCCGACATGAACACATTTTTATGATTTGGGTGTATGAATATTTGCATCGAAAAGGGTTGTCAGATGCTCTTCTCCAAAAAGCGATCAGTTTTCGGTGACAGCAAACTACATTACCTGCGAAACACCAAATAATATCAACATGTAGTTTGATATATTCCGTTCCACAGCGACGCTATATCGACTGTAGTTTTCATTTAATTTGGAAATTCAAAATCGTTTTAATATATCTTGTAAACGTGAAACGTTTTATTTAAAAGTAAACTGAAATATCTGATTAAAATGTTTCAGTATTATGTCTGTACTAACAAGGAAATGTTTGTTTTTTTTGGGTTTTTTTCAGTGATGTCTCGTTCCTTACTGGATTTCAGCGTCTAAAAACGGTCGTCCTTGATCACAACCTAATAGGAAGTAACACAGTGTTTCCCTATCTTCCCATGCTCAGTATGCTCTGGTTGAACTACAATCTCATCGTTGATCTAAGTACTTTCATACCTGCTTTAGCTCGTAGCTGTCCAGCACTGAACACATTAAGTTTGGTGGGAAACGATGCAGCTCCAAGCTATTTTAATGGAAAGACACTGGAAGAGAATCTCAGCTACAGGTAGAATTTGCTTTTCATCAATTATTTTACCCTTTTTTCACACAAATACTTTGATTACCTAAGTAAGAATTAGCGGATAATGTTTATTTATGGAGTAAAGAATGGCCGTTTCTTGCAGTAAGCGACTTTCTTAGACTTTTTAGAAACCAAAAGAGAGAAACGCCATCAGAAACTTTTGTTTATCAATATAAAAAAATACAGCTTTTGCTGAAAACGTTAACTTCAGATTATGGCATTTCCAAGAAAACAAATCACGTTAGTAATCTACAACAAAAATCCACTTAATGTTTTTCTATTTATCAGTAAACTGAAATATTGAATATGTCAATCTGTAAGGCCGGGCGTGGCGTAGTAACTACCGTGCCCGGTATGTGAATCCGATGATTCATAGCCCGTGTCCTATTGCCGGGAAAACGAGCTTCACGCTTTTTACCCGTGTGCTATAGAAGCTAAACATGACCAGCCAGGGAATTGGAAGTTGGCACAGTTGACTATCTGCTTTCTCCAATCTATTAGTTCAAAATTAAGGACTGCTACTCGCACAAAGCCCTTTTGTAGTTTGACGCGAAACTCTGAAATAAAAACAAAAAATTAAGTTGCTTTGTTTTTGGTTGTTGTTGTTTTTTTTCGAAATAATTAAGGACTTAATTTTGGAGTATTGAATCAAAGATAGAAATGTAGACAAAAATGCAAATAACTTTGAATCAGCCCGGCATGGCCGGGTGGATAAGGCGCTCGACTCACAATCTGAG